TGGCGTGCTTCTGGCATTTGTCACATTTTTTAACGAGTTCAATGGCATCTGCCTTCATTGTTGGCCAATAATACCCCTATCGAAGTGCCTTCTGGGCAAGGGCCCTGCCCCCCAAGTGTCTGCCGCACAATCCCTCATGAGTGTCGTGGAGTACGAGCTCGGCTTCGGTGGGTCGCAAGTAACGCAGGTAGGGGAGCGTGTAAGATCTCCGGTATAGCCGTTTGTCTATCATGACATATTTGGCTGCCTGGCGCTGCACCCTTCTAGCTGCATTGCAGCCAAGTGTGGTTTCTCTAGATGTTTTGTTTCTAGTTGTGCAAGTCCTTTTTGTCTTTCAAATGTTGTTAATTTGGATTTATGTTTTTGTGGTCGTCTGAAGTAGCTGTGTTCCTAAGTAGTTTGGTTGTTTTTCTTTTCTGTTTGTTTAGATTTCTTTGCCTGTCATAGATATATCTCTCTTTCAGACTCATAAATGTTACTATCTTCAAAGTACAAGGTACCTATTTGTAATTTATCCTATTATTATTTCAGATTTTTTACTCATTCTTTCAATATTTAAGTTTTAATTTAAATTGTTTTAAAAAAAGTTTTAGTTTAAGCATTAATATTTTAATAATTGGATTTTATGGATTGGATAAGGGTGGATTCATATTCGAATCACCCTTAAATGGGATTGATCTAATACTGATGTAGCGTGATCCGGTCACTCCTAGCTGGCACTTACGTGACTCCTGGAAGGTACCTGAGATGAAGAAGAAGAAGAATCCCCGGGGAGTTTATCCGATGGGGATACTCCGATGCTTAAGTTAGTACTCTGTAGGAGAAGAAAAAAGGAGACGAAGGCTAAGAGTGCAGATAGTGTGTTCTCACTATACTCAAGAGATTAGAGGTCTCAAGAAGAAGTTTCTCTAAAAGCCCTCACGTCAGGTCGGGCATAACCGCCACTGGGCTCCTGCCACAGCCGTTACCTGCCAGGGCTGCGCAGGTGGCCGTTGTGGCGTACGYCTCGCCCGGGAGAGTGACACGTCTCCAAAGTGGCAGGCACGCCTTTGCCTATTGAGAGACATGGACGCAGACTACCGAAAGGACTGGGACTGTGCCGTCAGTGAGGGATATGGCGCAGTCTGACCGATATGGCTTGTCAGTCAGAAGCTTCCTGAGGAGCGCTCATGCGGCTCATTCGCGAGCTATTTTGTAGCGAGCTTGGAAGACTCCAGGATTATCCTTAGTAGAATTGGTCATTGGTATGACTTGTTTGCTTGGGAGCTCAGACGAGCTAATAACCTTAGCTCGCGAGCTAAAGTCTTCTCTGAGTATCTCTTCAAAGGTAGCTCGGGGAACCCGGAGCTCGCGTTGTGGCGAGCTTCTCCTTTTGTGAGCTACAACATAGCGAGCTGTTTTATGGGCCCGTCACTTGGTCGCACCAGGCTACAATGCTGAGCTATCGCTCGTGCTGAGTCAGTGTCCATGTGTCACCATTTCATTGGTTGGGTCAAATCGTCCTCCATCAGATACTGTTTGCCTCCCTAAACTATTGGAGTGTGTCCACTCAACCGTTTTGATTACTTGGTAATGTAGCTAACACAAGGACCCAAGATTAGAGTGGTTGTGGGGCATATACACTTGATGGTTGATGTGGGGCATTACTATTTATTGATTTAGCAGACCAAAACTTCTCCCTATAACTAACAATACACAAGTACGGAAGATGTTCTCGATGTATAGCTGAAATGTGTTGTGAGAAGCGCTCTATGTGGTTCAGATCCAAACTTGTAAATCAGGATCCCTTTTTAAGTTGCCACGTTTAAAAGAAATAACATAAAAGTGCATTGGCCTAGGGGTGCAAATGGATCATATTTTGATCCAATCAAATCCTATTTTGTCGGATTTGGATCTCCCTTGTTTGAATCTTCTAATTGGATTGGATCAAAAAATAGGATCCAATGAGAAATCCGATCCCATTCAGATCACCCCTTATCCAATCCGATATATATTATTTATTTATATAAATATATATAACACATATATATATTATTTATTTATTTATAATATGTTATTTATATTGAATTTTTATAAATTCGTTATATTAATTAATTTTTTTATAAAAATCATCTATATATATATACACGATGGAAATAGTTGAAAAGATACTTGTATATTTTGTTTATTATTATTATATTTTATTTTTCTTTTAATAATTTATTATTTTTTAAGAAATTTAAATCAGGTCATATTAGATCTGAAAATCTTACTTCTTCCTTAGATTCAAATTCAAATCCATACTTATAAGATTCAATCAGATTGCTTCAGATTCGGATATACCTTAAACCGAATCGGATCGGATCCATTTGCATCCCTACATTGGCCAAATGATCAGTTTCGCGTAAACATCATAATTTTACTCATAAATTGTGGGTTCCTTTCTGCAAATTAGCCTCGTGTCTTAATTCTTTCCTAACCGGGGACACCCAAACCGGCCAAACAATGAGTTGGAATCCTCTCCAGCTGTCCCGTCCTAATGGAGACCAACTGTAACTACAGTCTGAAATAAGGAGAGCGACAGATGACACGTGCAAATTTCAGGGCAAAAATACTAGGGTTGGAAGCTGGAACTTGGGTTGGGCCGACCTGAAACCAACCCAAAGATGGGGCGATATGGTGGGCCGTATTGGCCTATAGGGTTAGGCTATTAATTGTGCATGTCTTCTCCAATTCGGTTGCTAAACTCTCCGCCCAGGTCGGGTCATGAACACCAAGTTGAGTTGGAATTACTGACGATAGTTTGCCAAACCGGGTTTGTATGGGTTAAAATTAACCCATTCCAACCCGAGCTAACCCCACAATACCTGCAGCTGCAAGTCTGCAAAATATCTCATTGGATGGTCCCATATGCATCATACAGAAATTGAACAGTAAAAGAGTGCCTAAACTGTAAACTGTTGGAGGAAAGTAGGAAACATCAAAATGATTCTCGCAACGGATGAAACAAACACAAACCAAGTACGCATTTGGTTCCGCGGACATTTATTGATGAATGTTTTTCAGATTAAATATTTATTTTAAAAGCATTATTTTTAACATTTATTATTTTTGTTATTTCGTTGGGCATTTTATGGAGAATTGGAATCAATTCCTCACAAGGAACTCACAGTCCCATGATCCCATCCCACCATGTATTGCAAACATCTTCCATTGAATAACAACACAAAAGATGGGAATGGGATTGTGAGGTACATTACACATCCATGATGGAATGGGATTGTGAGGTACATATGTAATGTGCTCTTTTAGAGGTGTTTGAAGCAATACTCCATAAAATTACTTTTCACCTCAGTTTAGAATGTGCGTTTTAATAAATGCTCAGTTGTTGGGAGCATAGTTTTAAAAAATGATCCAGAAATGGAATCATTTTAGCCACTAGTTTTTGGGTTGACAATCTGATCGTCAGGTTCAAATGGATGATTTGTTTAAAAAAAAAATTTAAAATAAAAAATGGCAAAAAATCGTTAAATAAATTAACGATTCAATCACCTGAATCAATGAATTATTGACTTTTTCAACAATTTTTGGCCAAAGACAAAGTTAGAGATAAACGAAACCGATTGTTTAGACGATTTTCGAACCAAATGGTCTGACCATCCAGGTCAACAACAGTTCGAAAACCATGATTTAAAGAAATAAAAACTTGAAGTTTCTCCCAATACCCCATGTATATGTATATGGATTAAAATGTTTCTGTTTTTTAATATTTATTTATTTGATAAACGCCAATAACTATGTGATGCTAATATAGTGAACTTTTTGCAATAAACACCCACAGAACCAAATATAATCCAACAAAAACATTTTATTGATTTAACGGCTTAATCCAACGGTATTTCAAACTCCATAAGAAAACTATGTAGCGCTGAACTGGCACCGATTTTCTGATAAAGGGCAATAAAATCAAACACCATCCAAACTTAAAAACAATTATAGGATGATTCCAACCGTCAGATCAATCCCATCGCATGAAAATTCCAAATCCAATCAATCAAATGACGAAGTACAGTCAAACCAGAGTGGCATCACATTAATTGGACGGTCCCAAATAAGAACAAACTATCGACTTCTCGTAAAACGGCTAATTCCTGTTTTTACTTATCGGATCAAAGTACCCTCGAATACCAACCTCCTTGTCTTTGAACTAACCTAAACTATATGGGCATTAGAGTGATTTAGGAGTTCCACATCAACGTGCGTCACACATTGCGTGTCCAAGACGTGCTAATGCCGCAAACACCATGTGATCCATTGATATCATTTGGATGGGAGCCATTGTAGTCCGTCCAAATTAAAAATCTGATTGATATGGACCGATCCCGATACCAAATGCATTTAATTTCCAAAACGGTTTCCATGAGGGGATGGGTTTCCAGTACGATAGTACTTATCATGGGGTGCAGCGCCACACGCATCTATTACAACGGCCCCACATGCGATGGGTTGATGGGGACGCTGCACAGTTGGATGGCGACGGAACGGTGTCGGTTAGTTTTTTTTCACACTCACACCAACACGAGCTCTCCCGCGTTTTTCATCAACCGCGCCATTCGGGCCTTGGTCCTACCTGTCTCTCTCACTGTTGCTAGAAAGAGCCCACCGGCCCACGGGCCACGGACCATGAGCTGTTGCGGAGCTTGCGCTTGGGCGTGGCTTACGCAGCAGCCGTTGCGTTTGACGGTTTGGATCTTGGATGTGTAGTTTGCGACAAATTTACGATTTTTGCCACTAGCTTCTGCATTTCCCTGCAACAGCAAATAAGGCGGAAGCCTAAACTTCATGAAAGTACAATTGAACCGAGGACTTCCAATGAATGCGGTTTTCTTGTAACTTTTTTTATAAATATGTGTATTTTTAAGTACATTGCAGAGCTTTTCCACCTTGAAAATGTAATAGAAAAGTTTCAACATTTACAGACAGTACTGTAAGAGGTAACAAGAGGAAAGGAGAAGAAACAAGAGGAAAGGAGGAAAGAAGGAACAGAGAGAGAATCCAGAGAAGAATGGAAAAAAAAAGAAAAATAGGGTTCTGTAGATTACGTATCAAGGCCTTGAGAAAGATTCATAATTCAGTGTATCGAATGAGCTCCAATTGTCGTTTGGTGAATGGGGATAAAACATCGTTATATGATCGTTGAACGGGATGGTTTCCAAACTCTGGAACTCCTCCGGTTGCCATGCCAAATTTGGCACAGCTGGGGCTTCCCACCAGAATGCATCTTGAGCGGTTCCATCACTGACTAAAGGTTGAAACCCAGAATTACTGTTTGATTTCTGAACTGCGAACTGTGAAATTCTTTCCTGTTGCTGCTTGCAGTCAAACTCAAGTTGACCTGGAAACAGCTGCGGAGGTTCTTTAATCAAGTGGGCATCGATGGCCAGATCGGTCTGGCTCTGCCAGTCCACAACGTTTGAATCTTCTGCTAATTCATTCGAGTTGGAAGAAGTGGAAATGTTGAGAGACGCATTGACCTCTTTTTCGCTTGAAAATTCAGGTGTAATAAGTCCAGAACCCAAACTTGAATTCTGATTCAAGAACTTGGCTAAAACAACGGCAAGATCGATGTTTGAAGCGTCCGTGACTGCTGTTGTCGGCACCACAGTTGGATTCGCAACCGATGACGGGCCATCTCCAGAAAAACCGAGGGAGATGGAGACGGCTTTGGTCGGTGGAAGCTTTGAAGATTTCACTCGACGGGTTTTCCGGCAACCGCCACCAACAGGTACATTTCGTAGAGATCCACCTTTGGTCCAGTACCTTCGACAACCCTTACAGAAGTATCGAGGCTGTGATAGGCTGTAATTGTTATAGTAACAGAATTTTGTGTTTACAGAGGCGCATCGAGGGCAATTGGGAGCTACTTCGACGGTGGGCTTCCATCTGTGATCCATCGCCGAGGATCTGGATGAGTATGGGAACATTTTATCACCTGATGTGAAAAAGCACAACTGAAGAGGAGGGAATATAAAAGGATATATATATGGACTTGAGAACTACGGCTAGGGGAGCGCCGGAGGAGAGCGGGATTATTGATAGATGAGCCGTGGTCGGTTCGCAACCGTTAAGGCCAAGGAAGTAGGAATGGAAAATGCATCAGTCGCTACATCTGTATTATAGCCCAATTAGTCGTGCTTATTATTAGACACGTGGCTAAATTGAATAAAGCTTGAGTTGGATGCGCCCCATGGCATGCATTGGGAACATCTCCCGACTAGAGATCTGCTACCAACAGGACTCTCTTAAGACTGTCCCAACATGCCATCGCAGCCGCACATCGGGGACATATTACTTGTCACTCATGGGGAGATATTCCCAATGTGCGATTGTAATGGCTTGTTTGGTCCGTGGTTCGATTTGGTGCGGTTTGGAAAAAAAATTTTAGACCAAACCAATAAATTAGGCTTTGGGAAATTTTCAGATCAAATCAAATCATTTTGGTATAAAAATCAAACCAAACCAAACTATTTTATTACGATTTGATGCGATTTCTAATATGATTTGGGATTTTATATCATTCTATGCTTTGCTTGGATTACAAAAACTAGTATAGAAAAAAAAATAATTAATAAAACAAGAATTACATGGATGTCAATATCAATAGGAGAATAACTGAATAACACCAATTTAGAATTTTGTTCTGGTATTTCTAGAGTTTCAATTCCAGTTATGCTCCTAGGTGTTTACAGTTAAACATATGTCATTGCATCAAAGAAGAGAGGGGGTAGGCCATTAGGGTTTTTTTTTTTTTTCCAAATAATAGACTAGAGAGGAGGTGGGAAGATGATGCAGCAGCCGGCCAGAGTCGCCGAACTAGGGCGGATAAAGTTCTATTGAAAAAAGGAAGAGGGTTTTGTTAGGGTTCAAAGAGAGATGGTATCATGAGAGGGAGACGGGAGCAGCAACAGTGGTGGAGTTGTCAGCGAGAATGGTTAGGACTTAGGGTTTCGTTTATATCAGGTAATGAGAGAGAGAGAGAGCATTTATTGCAAGCTGGACGGCGAATGTATGATTGGCGACACTAAACCAGTGGTAGTGGCAAACCGGCAACACTAAATCATCGGCTACTCGAGAAGAGAAGAGAGATAGAAAGTCATAATTACAAATTAAAAATTAAAATTTAATATTAATATATTAAATTATATTATTCCATACAATTTTGTAATTCCTAATATATATATATCCAAAAACCGTAACTGACCCATCGTTATCAGATCTTGGAATCAGGACTGGCCCAATCGATTTGAATCTATTTAGATCCACTGGATCTGATCCATTGACAGCTCTAATAGGGAGCCAATCGAGTTGGCATCCGAACTTTCCCAATATTTTTTAACATTATCAGTGTCCGCACACTGCACCAGAAAATATGAGATGTGCAGACGTTTTTTGTTGCGGGAGGACATCCGGACTTGCAAACCAATGGGATTGAATCAGCTGGATATATATAAAATTGGGAAAAACTATGGTATAGAAAGAGTTTTGACCGATCAAAATTTATTTATAAATTTATAAATTTTGATAAATAACACCTGATTGGCTATCAAGTCTATGATTCCAGTTGATCGATGAAGTGTTATTTTGATAAATAACATCCATGAATTCGGATATCATATCTTTTCTATACTATAGTTTAGTCAACACATCAATTCTAATAAAATCTTATCCATAGGATTTAAATCATCAAATTCAGATAATGAATATTAATAAGTAATATAGTAAGAATGATTACAATTTTATATATCACTATTGACTCTAATATTACATTTATCATAGATAAAATGGCTTTCTAAGTATATTATTATGATCTGATACTCCAGTTACACATATTGTACATGTAGGTTGTGTCCTTCGTGAGGAGAGATGTTCCTACAGTTTTGTGGGTAGCAAATTCAGACTTTGTTATTATAGGATTGGATTGCAGTGGATTCATATTTCATCCAATTATAAATATATATTGAATTCACATCTTAATCTGATTGGATTTAAATTTGAGTTCAAATTTAGAGAAATGGATACTATTTAAAGGCACAACAGAATTAATATTGGATGATGATGCAATGTTGTTGGTTTGGTTCTATTAATAGGGTTGTCCATCAAGTTGGGTAACAAAAGGACTATGTTAGAACTGGGTGTACTGAAAGCAAAAAAGCATGTAATGATGTAAAACATGTTGAGACTTGAGAGCACAACATCCTCAGGGCATCAAGAACACCTCCAGTACTTATATATCAAATTGAACATACGGTGCTCTCGGTGGTCTCAGAAGTCCGAAAGTTGTTTTAACCTTGGTGAATGGTGAGCAGTTGTTTCTCTCGGCGGTGAATCTTTCCTGGTAAAGGGAGGAAGAAAGAAAACGAAAGGAGGGAAAAATCACCCGAGGAAAAAGATAAAGATATCAGAGTGGAGGAAAAACTGAAGTTTTTACAAAACAAGTGCATGAAGGGTTTGTACATGCAGGAAAGTCATGGCAGACAAGAGGATGAACGCTCACGGAGTGATCCAGAAAGTGAGAAACTTTTGGTCGGATGCTAAATATGAAGTGGAGTGGATTGAAGACGAAACACTGTGGATAGTGTTCAAGAAGGAAAAGCACCTAAATCTCTTTTTAGCACAGGAGTCGTGGCTCATATATGGTTATCCGCTACTGTTACAGAGGTGGAGACCTGCCGAACCTCTAAATAGGATTGCTTTCAACGATCTAAATATTACTATTAGAATACTTCAGGTGCCGGTTGATTAGTGGTTTTGGTCCAATCCGATCCAGTCCAATGTGAGTCCATTAAAAATGGACCAGGTCTAATTCAATCCAATGAATATTTTGAACTAATTTGGACCATTCCAATTCAATATTTGAACCATCCAATCTGTTCAAATTCATTTAGATTTAGATTTAGATTGGTTTCAACCCATACCCGGTTCATTGACACACATATTCTTATCTTATATGAATGGACCAGATATTGGCTTAATCCAACCCAATCCAATATAATAAACATTTTGGACTGGACGGAGTCCAATCCAAAACCGGTCCATTTGACAGCCTTAGTGGCGATTGTGGGGGAACCGATTAAGGAAAATAAGAACAGGGGAGATTCAGAGGAAGAAATCAAAGACGAAGAACCTCAGTGGGATAGGCTGTTCAGAATTAGAGTGAGACTAAATGTAAATAAAACCTCTAGTAATCGGAAATTTCGATGAAGAAGAAAATGGAGAGAAGATCTAGTGTAGTTTTTAGTATGAACTACTGCCGATATTCTTCTATCATTGTGGTTTAATAGGACATGAAGAAAATAATTGCAATTCGGTGACAAATGATCCGGCAATAGAAGAGAATTAGGGAAATTAATGGCTACTCAAAACATTGATCAAGGAGGGGGTCAGTTGTGTTTTGGTCCAGGATTAAGAGCGGAGGTGGAAAAAGATGAATTCAAGTTCATAAACAAACAGGGGAGAGACTCAAGGATGGATGAAGGATCTAGACGAGGTTCGATTGCAAGTGCAGAAGGGAAACATCTTACGGTTGCTTCTAATCAAGAAAATGTGGAGAAGACCGATATTCTGGTTATTAGAAGGTATGTAAATGAATCACTCGTGCATGTTACTGAATGTGATAACTTACCAAGCTTTGTGGAGACGTGCAAGAGAAGATTCTTCCAAGAAATGCCAAGTCTAAATGTTGGAGCTAGGAATCTTTTCCCGCAAAAGGAGCAATCCATTTGATATCTCATCGAAGAAATCACACCAACGACCGGAAAGAGAAGGGGAAGAATGTACGGGAGTGGAGTTGGTCGCAGTAGGGTGTGGAAGCTTGAGAACAGTGGGTATGGTGACGGCCTGACGGGGTCTAAGAAGACAATAGTCAATCTGACGCCAAACCAGACTGACTGGACTAGAAGTGCTGAGGTGGCAAAATTTGGAAGAAGTGAAAGGATGGAAGGAGATAGGGGTTAGATAGGCCATATGTCAGCTTTTAAAAAAAGATCTTCGAAAGGAAAAAAAATCATGACAGAATCAGATTTGGTGGCAAAAGACTATTATCATAAAACGCAAAGAAAGAAGGAGGAAGGAGTGGTTATTTGGGAATTGGAAGATCCGAATGAGGAAGAATTAGAGCGGGTCTATGGAGCAGTAAAAACTAAAAAGAGCCAAGCCAAACCTGATAGAGGAAGAAAACTGGACAAAACAAGGAATGATGAACTAGATTGAAAAAGAGGTTATAACTATAGAGGAAGATTTTGATATTGATGAACTACTGGCAGAAAATGTGGAGGGTATCGAATGTGCAGTGAAAGAAAATGAAATTGAAGGATATCAAGGAGGGAACTTTAAGTGGTTGGAATAGACCAACAAGCCAACAGATGGAAGAGGTAAGTTATCCTCTCTCTTCATTCAGTTTCTTAACATACTGAATATGAAATATGATTTTATTTTGTATCTGAGTAATGCATTGAATTATGATTTGCTAAATTCAAAAAACAAAATTTGGAGCCGGAAGGAAATAAAAAGAAAAAGTATGCTCTTAGGGAAAATGAATAAATGAAAATATTTGTCTGGCACTAATTATATTAAAGAATGGTGGTGCTTGAAATTGTTGAAAAATAATCACCTAAAAGAGTGGAAAGGAAAAACAAAGGAAATTAATGAAGAAGAGAGTTGGAGAAAAAATGCGAAAAGGGGTAGGTGTGATCTCTATAAAAATTAAAAAACATAGGAGGCTCAAAAGACAAGATCCAACAGGTTCGGGGTCCTGTCTTGGAACAGGCCCCGGGGGGAATGAAGATGCTAAGTTGGAATTGTCACCGACTCGGGTCCACCCTGACAATTCAAATTTTGAAAGACTCTCTTTAAAGAGGGGGTTGAGGTTGTTCTCCTCATGGAAACAAAGCAAACGTTGCTGAATTGTAGGAAGAAACTTAAATTTCTCAAGGAGTGGGAAAGTTGGGGAGTGGATGCAGTAGGGATGAGTAGTGGATTGGCTCTATTCAGGAGAAAGGAAGCAGAATTAAAAGTGTTGTATTTGTACCTTTGTGTATGGGGAACCAAAGAAAGCAAAAAGACCATCCTTTTTGAACAAATAGAATGCTTTAGCACATTTAGTTAAAGGGCCTTGGGTTTGTGTAGGGGACATGAACATGATTTTTCATAGTTCAGAAAAGGAAGGGGGAAAATTGTATAGTGAAGAGAGCCTTAGGAAGTATAGGGTGTTTTTAGAGAAGTGTAATCTATAAGAAATCCAAAGCTCTGGGCCATTGTTTACTTGGACAAACAAAAGAGAAGGGGGTGAAGGGGGAAAATTGTATAGTGAAGAGAGCCTTAGGAAGTATAGGGTGTTTTTAGAGAAGTGTAATCTATAAGAAATCCAAAGCTCTGGG